TGTCCTGCTGCTCCGCCGTCCTGCTGCTCCCCATTCCCAGGGCACCAGCCACTTCATTCCACACTGAGCCCCAGCCTGTGCTGTCCTGCTGCTCCCCATTCCCAGGGTACCGGCCGCTTCGTTCCACACTGAGCCCCAGCCTGTGCCGTCCTGCTGCTCCCCGTTCCCAGGGCACCGGCCGCTTCGTTCCACACTGAGCTCTTCCTTCAGAACCCAGGCACCCAGGGCTCTGTCCCCTGCCGTTAGCATTCTTCTGTTTTGAGTTCTTCCTACTTTGGGATTTATATGGGCTCTATACTGTTTTTAAAATTGTGCCATTTTAAATGTATTTCCCTCAGAGAAATGGAAGGTGAACTTGAAGTTATTTGGGAATCTGCCTTCAGGGAAAACCGAAGAATCCGAGAACTTCTCCAGGACACACTCGCGAGGACAGGCGTGCGGGACACCCCCAGAGCTCTGGTGGCCCCCAGCCTCAATGGCGTCTCTCAGGCAGACCTGCTGGATGGCTGTGATGCCCGCTCCTGTGACCTGAAGACTCCTGCCCCCACCTGCCAGAGTCTGCGGGAGCCGGTGGTGTAGGCTCCTCTGGCCTGAAAGGTCTGCCTCACACAGGCCTTCCCTGGAGGGCAGCCCACGGTGGCAGCCAGAGGTGCGTAAGCCCACTGAGCGCTGCGGGGCAGGGAGGAAATAAATGGTCTCATAGTTTAATCCACTGATAACATTCTGCTTTATTTTTAAATTTTTATTTTTATTTTAATTTTTTTAGAGCTCGGGTCTCACTCTGTTGCCCAGGCTAGAGTACAGTGGTGCAATCATAGCTCATGGCAGCCTCAGACACGTTTGAGATCCTTCTGCTTCAGCCTCCTGAGTAGCTGGGACCTCCAGTGTGCACCGCCAGGCCCAGCTAATTTTCTTCTTTTTTGTTGAGATGAGGTCTTGCTATGTTGCTCAAGCTGGTCTTGAACTCCTGGCCTCAAGCTGTCCTCCCGCCTTGGCCTCCCAAAGTGCTGGAATGACATGTGTGAGCCACTGCACCTGGCCCATTGTGCTTTATTTTAATAATATGCTGCTGAAGTATAGTTTAGCCAGGGCATGTTCTCTGGCCACATTGCCACTGAGACGAGCTCTGTGACACCCACTGCTCTGGTGAGTAGGCGGCCTGCTGAGCGGGCCTGCCTTCCAGCTCCGAGATCTGCAGCTGGGAAGCGCTGGAGGGATCGGGCGGGCAGCTGGTCCTCGGGCCATGTGTCAGATGGGGACGTGTCACCCGAGGAGCCAGGCCATGGTAGCGCCTGATGATAGCTGTGCATGAGCTCTGGCGGTCTTTGCTTGTTTGGTAAAAAAAAAAAAAAAACAAGGTGCTACTGTTCATGCCCTCTAAGTTGTACAAACCTTTTCTGCCTTCTCCCCTAGCCCTTCTCTATCCTCCTACGCAGGTACTTTATTCTCTTTTGTTTAGTTGTTATTTTGTTTGTTTGTTTTGAGACAGGGTCTCACTCTGTTACCCAGGCTGGAATGCAGTGGTGCAATCACCAGAGCCTTGGCCTCCAGGCTCAAGCGATCCTCCCATCTCAGCCTCCTGATAGGTGAGATGACAGTCATACACTAACATGCCTGGCTAATTTTGTAAAAAAAATTTTTGTAGGACAGGCATGGTGGCCACTCCTGTAATCCCAGCACTTTGGGAGGTCGAGGCAGGCGGATCACCTGAGGCCGGAGTTCGAGACCAGCCTGGCCAACAGTGGTGAAACCCTGTCTCTACTAAAAATACAGAAATTAGCTGGGTGTGGTGGTGGGTGCCTGTAATCCCAGCTACTTGGGAAGCTGAGGCAGGAGAATTGCTTGAACCTGGAAGGCGGAGGATACAGTAAAACAAGATCACACCATTGCACCCCACCCTGGGCAACAAGAGTGAGACTTTGTCTCAAAAAAATTTTTTTTTTTTTTTTTTTTAGATTGGGTTTCTTGCTATGTTGCCCAAGCTGGTCTTAAACTTC